AAAGAAAGAAAAAGGCGAAAAGTGTAGGCATCAAGATGGATCCGAAGTGTGTGATGATAAAAGCCTCTTAGCTGCTCGAAAAGCCTGGAACGGTTATTTGGATTCGAGTAATCAGAGGTTAATGAGTTCAGCAAATATGAATAAGGCCCAGGCAGGATTGACTGAACGGAATAAAGCTTATTTTCGGAACCCTTCAGTTAGGGTAAATTATATAACTGGACCTAGAGTAGATTCTAGGATAAGTGATGGTGGTACAGTAACGGCTAAGAAGCCTAGGAGACATGATGCTACTATTACTAAGAAGCCTGAACCTCATGCTCTTTCGGATGCTACGACTAGCCATGGAAATAGTAGCCATCAGAACCTTAGTAGTGACAGTGATAATAAGGATATAGAAAGTGTCAGCAGTTCACTTATAGGGACTAGTTTATCAACTTCATCGAATGAGCCTCCTAGTGTTTCGACGCCATCGGTCCTCGTCACGAAGGTTAAGTTGATTGAAGATGCACAAGGTTGTGCAACTGTAACTGTTCCTATTCCGGTTGACTGTCAGTCGAGTGATGATGAGAAGAAAGTGTTTGATGGTAACAGCCAGTCTACAGTGCTGTGTGATGACGATGCTATTGTTGAGCATATGTCTTGTGCCGCGGAAACGGATGCTAATGCAGAACGGAATCATTTAGACGTTGATAATAAACTGGATGTCACTGATGTGACAAATGAGTTACCGACGATGATGAATACTGTTCAAACCTCCTCTGCATCAGGAGATGGAAGGATAAATATTGATCCTACCTCATGCTACTTAAGGTCTTCTGGAGACGATGAAATGTCAAAATTGGAGATCCCACCCTTGCATATTATTTATGGGTCAAAAACTTCTGTTGATAAGTTAGCATCACGGACTTCATTGTATCTGCTGATCGGAGCAAGTGGTGGTGGATTGGTGACTCGTCCCCACGATAGAGAATGTAGTCCTTGGATAGGATATGACCAGTTTTGCGACGCGTTGTTCATGTTCGTATGGGTTAATTGGGTAAGGTTTATACTACCGTTAGGTCATTCCACGATAGATAGGGGAATCAAGGGCCTGATGGGAAAGTATAGGTACCTAGTTAACACGATAGGTCATATCCATGTTGGATGGCGTGTAGGCGTACTGCTGTAAGTCCTACACGTTATTCCGGTGTGGATTAGGGGATAACATGGGAACCCTAAATAAAGTGTCATTAACGCTTGCTCTTTTTGCATGGAGGGATTTTGCGGGCCGGTGTAGAATTCTTTTTGAATGTTTTGTGTTTTTGGAAAATCCCTCCATGTTTACATATTTTTGCTATGACATGATGGACTTTTTCTCTTGACATTTTTGGTATTTTATGTGATTCCAATTTGAGATTTTATCATTGTATATTGTTATTCTTTCTATATTTGTACTTATATTGAAGTTTTTGGGTTTGCTTCTGAATTGTACATATATTGTTTAAATTTGATATAATATGGCTACCGCCACATTTTTGGACGGACGCGGTGGCTGCTGGACTTAGTGTCACTTACTAGCTATTGTGTTGGATACTCTGCGGAGTAATTTAACCCTGGAAGAAACACAAATTCCGTAAGACTTTGTATTTCCATTTTATAATAATATAGAGACGTTTTCTCCTAGAATTTTGCCCTTTTTGATTTGGTCGGGACCCGGAACTAGGAGGAACGTACAGGAGTGTTTCTATAGGAAACAATTGGGACAGCCACTGTCGAAATAAATCTACAATGAATAAATGTGGAACAAGCAATTGAATCGAACTCACCACTCTACATCAACTTCATCGACTACGAGAAAGCATTCGATAGCGTGGACAGGAAAACACTGTGGAGGCTTCTTCGACACTATGGTGTGCCTGAGAAAACAGTTAACATCATACGGAATCCTTGCGATGGATTCAACTGCAAAATCATGCACGAAGGATAGCTAACAGACTCTTTCGAGGTGAAGACCGGTGTCAGTCAAGGTTGCTTACTCTCACCCTTTCTCTTTCTCCAGTTGATTGACTGGATTATGAAGACGTCGACATCTGGAGGGAAACACGGTATTAAGTGGACGATCTGGACTACACAGATGATCTGGCTCTTCTACCGCACACGCAATAACGAATGCAAGACTCAACATACATTAAGGGAAAAGCAAGGTTCTCCGAAACAACACAACATTCACCAAACAAATTGCTCATGGTGGGGATGGCTTGGAAGAAGTTGAAACCTTTACATATCTGAACAGCAACATCGACAATCAAGGTGGATCTGATGCACGCATGGATCGGCAAAGCAAGGACAGCATTTCTACAATTGAAGAACATCTCCAACTCAAAATTACAATCAACAAACACTAAAGTCAGAATTTTCAATGCAAATGTCAGGGCAGTTCTACTATAAGCGGTGGAAACTTGGAAAACCACCAAAGCCATCACCTACAATATACAAGTATTGATTAATAGTTTTCTATGCAAAATACTTCGAATTCCTTGGCCAGACATCATCAGCAACAACCTACTATGGGAGAGAAGAAACCAGACTCCAGTAGACGGAGAAATCAGGAAGAAGAGGTGAAAGTATACAGTACACACACTCTAGAAAGCACCTAAATGCGTCCAAATTTGTCTAGCAATTAACCGTACTTCTGTGGTTATCATACCAAATGACTTTATCCTCGATTGTTATTGTCTGATTCGATGATCTGATATCCAGACGAGATCATAGTCACTCAGTTCGTCAAAAATGTAAATTTCTGTACTGAATTTCGTTTGTTCACCTCGTGAGAGAGATGGTAAGTAACGGATTTGAATTTTATATCAGTTTATCCGAATGACAAATAATAATATGACCACACAGTTCTTTTGAGCTACAGAGTGTCGTTTGATACTAAAATATACACTTTCATAACTGGAGTACAGAACCTATACAAGAAATTACAGAGTTTCAAGAATTTCATATTTAATGGAAGATTTAACTTGGGCGTCAACCAGCGTTTCTCATATTGAACGTTTATTGATCTGGCTTGAAATGATAATAAACTAGGCGGAGGAAGTAATAGCATTCGGAGGCTTGAAATTTTTCAGTCTTGCCATATAAACTGCAGAAAATCTGCCTACCGATTAGATTGCACATTATATTCAGAACATCATGTATACCAACTCAAACTATCTTGTTTAAATCAAGAATCATAAAAGATAAAATTAATAATTGTGCGCGAGAATGAGGACATCATCCATCAAGATTGTGCAGGTGGTTGACACAGACCTAATGGTCAACAGTTACTGTCAATATTACAAAATTTCATGATTTCACATTAATTGTATTATCGATGATAATGATAGTTACATTGTAACATGAATTAAATACTAATCTTGCGCAACTATTTTCCTGCTCGGATTGTAAAACATATCAATTACCTTCTTGCTCAAATGCGTGTGCGACATCGTTGCAGTTACTGCTGTGTATGCGTTCACTGTCTCAGGTGTTATGTTGTCATGTCCTTCTGCTTTGCCGCTCATCATGTGCCTAGTGACCATGTTGATCTCGTCAGTTTTTCGCGGGTCAGCATTAACTGGAGTGTCCGTATGTGTTTCTTCGATGATTGATAGGTTAAGATTGGATCGTCTACTAAACAGTTCTTCAAAGTGCTCTACCTACCTGTTTCGCTGTTCTTCAATGACGTTGATTGTTTTGCCTTCATTGTTCTCGATTAGTTGTTCTGGTTTCGCTATATTTTGCGGCGAGCCTCTTGTTTGTATCATATAGTCACCTCATGTTTTCTTTCTTCAGATATTTTTCTGCTTTCATTGTTAGGTCTTCCTTATATCTGTCTTTTCAGTTTGAAAACTCTAATTCGATTGCTTGTTCGCTTACGTGTATTCAGCTCGTGCCTTGTCTTTCTCTGCACTTGTTCATCTTTGATTGATTGCTGCGTTCCTGCTCTTCCTTTCTTGAAACTAATACAGACAATCCTTTTGTGATAGTGCTCGTGGTGGACCAGAATCTTATGACAAGAAGAAGTTATTGCTTATTGATCCTCTAGTTGTTTCTCCATGGTGGTTTTCTCTCCAACGAGTAACTCGTGAAAGGCTTAGAACTTGTTGCCGAAACCTCTCTTAAATTCGTTGAGTTTGTCAGTATCCCGAAGAAAGTTTGCATTAAACTTTGATGATGCTGTCCAGCTTTTTTCAGTTCCATCTTGTCCATTACAATGTGACAAGGGAAGTAACGCTTATTTGAAGCGGACATTTCCATATGTACGTTACATTCGATATGATTTTATAATTCATGTGTAGATCCACATGTACGACGTGCATTCAGTATTGTATTTTCACTTAAGTCACCTAGAGACGTCTTTTGGACAAGACATTGGTATTATTTAGATTTCAGTCGCCAAACTTCAGAATAGCTCTCACAAATAAAAATACTTTAGGTTTTACGGTAGGCCTCATGTGAATTAAAATAACAGTCTTCAGGTAAAAAAATACTAGAATTTGTATTTATTAGTTGAGTCAAAGTAGTTAACAATAGAAGCATACTTAACTACCAATCTTTCACGTTAGATTCGCTCTCATGTTAGCAACCCAAATGCACTGAAGTTGGTTTTTAGATTTTTAGGTTTGAATACTCGGGCTTCTCCCAAATCTCTATCAAATGTGATTTGGTTGATGCATGTTGTGTTGCACCGGAGGGTTTTGCTTTCTGCCTTGTGTATGTTGAGACTTACTGATGCTGACGTTGTTGCTGGCACACTGGCCGTCTTCATTTGCTTTTGTTGTTGTGTGTGGGATGAAAAGGCTAGGTGATATGCGAAGTACAGATCGTCAAGCTTCTTCCGAGCTGTCCATTGTATTCCGTGCTTCCCCTGAGATGTTTCTGTCTTCACATTCCAGCCAGCTACCAGAAGAAAGAGAAAGGTTAAGACTAAGTAGCCTTTTCTGACACCGTTCTTCACTTGGAATGAGTCTGAAAGTCAAAAACGTTACTTGCCTAACACTGAATGTTTGGCATTCATTATGTAATATGTCATTTCTAGGCATTTTTCCCTTGTTTTGCAGATCATTAACTTGGATTTGTGCGAAGGCGTACTATCCCCATATCCTGTACATAGCGCAATCGATACAAGCATTTTGGGTTACGTTTTTTTACTGAACAAGAGGCTACGTTAGATTGTTAATAATTCGCATACTTCGCGATGCAGTGGTCATCTAAGAAACCAGCGACAAACAACACAACCTTCAATCCTGATACTATCGATGATATCGATTTAAGTAATGAAGATCTTGAACAGGAATTACTTGATTTATTGCATGATGATCCAACCTCTGGGATTTCTGACGAACCGCCGTGTTTTGAGCAGGTGAGTATAATTGTTGTCTATTCCTGATCTAAAACTATGTAAAACACAGTTGTGGTAATCACAAAAAGCTCAGTAAATTAGATATTCTCTTATCAAGATGTGTAAGGCCTTTTGAATGTTGGGGGTCGGTGTACGCTGAGGAAGAAATATAGATAGGTTTATGGTAATTAGGTTATTGACTTCATTTGAAATACCGCGTGCTTGAGGTTGATTGGGATTTTATGGCAGACTCAACGGACGATTCGGTCTAGGAATTTGATACTTAACTGTCCCTACACCTTAGTACTGATGTTTTTACTGTCAACATATTCATACCTGCAAGTATTATGTCGTATGGATTTGGCGCGCTTGCGATGAGACATTTACTGCGAGTTTACCCAGGCAAAGAATTGCACTTTTACTAGATGCATGTCGTTCTACCCTCGCTGTAATCTCAGGACAAATCGATTTTGTAGACTCAGAAACAGTATGTCTTCATATGTATCTTGTTTATTGTGATTTTATTTTTTTCGAAATCCTTGTCATTAACTGCTTTGTATTGAGAGGCTATGAGTTGATCATAAAGAGAGATTTGTAAAAAAAATGCGTGGCACAAATGTATCTATCAACATTTTTCAATCCCATATGAGCACTTAAGGCGAAGATCAAGAAAAAAAAACAAACTACTGACGTAATGCTGCATACAGTAATTGAAATATAATATCGATTGAATAATATGGGCAATAATAGAGATTGGAATTCGCAAAAATAAAATAAGTATTAATAATAATAAGTTAGTTACCGATAAAGAAAATATAGCAACGAGAATTTTTTCAGTGAAGTCATTTACTTAAGTTATATATTTGTATCCATGATTGCTCGAGACATATCAGACTATGGAGAGGTAAAAAACATTGTATCATAAGGTGATCCGAGATTTCAAATATCAGAAGGTTGCCTAATGATCAAACGATTCGAGAAGAATTATTTACTTACTTACTTACGCCTGTTGCCCTCAATGGAGCATAGGCCGCCGTCCAGTATTCTCCAACCTGCTCTGTCCTGGGCCTCCCTTTCGAGTTCTGCCCAATTTTCGTTCATACTGCTCATGTCTGTCTCCATTTCTCGGCGTGATATGTTCCTTGGCCTTCCTCTATTCCTTCGACATTGAGAATTCCAAGTGAGGGCTTGTATTGTAACGCAGTTGGGTGCTTTCTAGAGTGTGTGTACTGTACACTTTCACCTCTTCTTCCTGATTTCTCCGTCTACTGGAGTCTGGTTTCTGCTCTCCCATAGTAGGTTGTTGCTGCCCGACCGTAGCTGCTACCTTGACGTGGTGGTCGGGCTTGCCTATCGTGATGACCCAACCGAGCTATACTGGCTGGAACATATGTTCCTCAAGGTTCTACCATGCCAGACAGGTCGATTGGAGAACGATGAGACTAAAAGCAGCTACCCAAGGTCTGAGGGCGAAGTCGTACTGCTGACTGCAGAGGGGTGTGACAGCAGTAAGGTGTTTCCCTCGGACAACCAGCATCTGCAGCGATGCTGCCTTCTCACAAGGAAGGAAGGGTTAGAAAAGGTCGGCCCTAAAAATGTCACACCTCCCCTAACTCACGGATTTCCGTCTCCTTGGGTAAGGGTGCCCACTAAGGGCCTTTAAGAACGGAGCTAATCCTCAAAAAACATTTCTTAAAAAGGCCGTGCGTGACCGGCCTGAAGCAGTTGTCCCTTGGGCTCTGCGGTCACGCACCAACACTAATCTATCTTCCTTTTCAGGTTCCTCAAGAAACAATCTTCCACGGTGTGGGCAGCCGGGAAGTGACAACCGCCCTCATACCCGTAACAGCACGCGAGACCGAATTGGTCAAAATCAAATCCTTCCTACACCCCCTAGTACCTCTCTTATCTCCACGACTAACTCTTCTCACATTCATTCATCACAGTGCACAGCTAATGCAGACGATACGAGTTCGCGAAACGTCGTTCCTGGTCTCCTTAAACCTCGCTCGAGACTACATGTCGGAGCATTTAATGTACGGACATTGTGTCAAATAGGGCAACAGGCTTCCTTAGCTAGTACTTTAGAATCTCGTGCCATCGATGTATGCTGCGTCTCGGAAACGTGCATACAGGATCCTAGTAAAATTATTAATCTGATTTCACCTTGGCAAAATAAAGAAGCAGCTCGATTTACTCTTCGTGTATCCGGTAGCCCTGATGCTGCTTCCAGGGGTCTTGCTGGCGTAGGCATAGCATTGGGTCGTAGGGCAGAACAATCTCTCCTTAACTGGATCCCAATAGATAGTCGATTGTGCGCTGTCCGACTAAACGGGACAGTAAGGACTCGGAAAGGTAGGGACAATCGCCGTTGCCTCTTCATCGTATCTGCCTATGCCCCCACTGAATGCAGTTCAGACGAGGTCAAAGATGAGTTTTACAGAAAGCTTTCGGACCTCCTCCAAAAAGCTAGGCGCTCTGATATAGTAATAATGGCTGGTGACTTTAATGCTCAAGTAGGTAGACTAAGTGAGCAGGAGAGACACCTAGGTGGATGTTATGGTATCGCGGCTCAGAGAACAGACAATGGTGACCGTCTGTTGCAAGTATGCTCAGATAACCGCCTATTCTTAGCAAACACTAACTTTAGGCATAAGGAAAAGCATCTGTTGACCTGGCGACCCCCGAAGTCGTCTCAACGTTGGACTCAACTAGATCACATCGCCATCAGCCACCGATGGAGGGGTTAGATAGAGGACTGTCGCTCGTTCTGGGGCACATGTTTGGATTCAGATCATGCCCTAGTGCGAGCGCGTATTTGTTTGAAGCTTACTGGGCGTAGAAAAGACACCGTAAGGAAGCCTCTTAGGGTTTTACTTAATGATAATAAGGCGAAAAATATATTTCAGGAACAACTAGAAAGACAGTTAGGCGACCATTTAAGCGATTCCCATCCGGAAGCAGGATGGAATGATATCAAAAAGGCTGTGGAAACAGCAGTGATAGCTGCTAGTAAGGTTGACCATAAGGCTAGAATGAAACCGTGGATCTCAGCAGCATCCACCGATCTGATGGATGCCCGAAAACTCATCCCACCTGGCTCTGAACATGATGAAGAACGAAGTCAACTTAGGCGCAGACTTATAAAAAGCCTACGTAACGATCGCGAACAGTGGTGGGTGGCGAAAGCAAAAGCGATGGAAAAGGCAGCGGCGATCGGCAACAGTAGACAACTTTTCCGACTTATCAAGGAAACTGGTATTAGGAATCCTAGTGTAAGTGAGACTATCTCAGAAAATGACGGGACTATTATTTATTCTCAATCCAGGAGACTGGATCGATGGTCAGAACACTTGAGGGATCAGTTCAACTGGCCTCGAGCCACTCTTCAGTTACCCACGATCTCCAGTCATCCTGAATGGCAAATCGACCTAAGTCCCCCTAGTCTTATTGAAGTTGAGGAAGCGTTAGGAAATCTGAAGCGAGGACGAGCTGCATGTCCTGATAGACTGACCCCTGAGATATTTAAGGATGGTGGTCCAGTTTTAGCAGCTAGGTTGACTGAGATCTTAGGTAGAATCTGGGAACTGGACGTAATCCCATCCGACTGGTCCCAATCACTGATTGTCCCAATCTATAAGAAAGGACAGAAGTCTTCTTGTGACAATCACAGAGGAATAAGTCTAACTAATATAGTATCTAAAATATTGGCCTCAATAATACTTCGACGCTTAACGAAAGCTCGTGAAGAGCAGACTCAAGAAAACGAGGCTGGTTTTCGACCTGGACGTGGCTGTATAGACCACGTCTTCACACTCAGACAGGTCCTGGAACATAGACACACATTTAGGCGTCCTACAATAGTTGTTTTCCTAGACCTTAAGGCGGCGTTGGACTCTGTGGATCGTGAGGTTCTGTGGCAGTGTCTGTTATTGAAAGGTGTATCAAATAAGTACATTAACCTCATACAAGGTCTCTACTCAAACACCACTGGTCGAGTGAGAGCTTATGGCGAACTGTCACCGGAATTTTCTACTTCAACTGGTGTCCGTCAGTGATGTCCACTTTCTCCATTCTTGTTTAATTTTATCATAGACATGCTCCTAGAAATAACCTTATCCTCGTCTGAATTTTCAGGAGTAGACCTTTTACCAGGTGGCTCGCTTATTGACTTAGAATATGCCGATGACATAGTCCTACTTGGTGAAGACGCTGACAAAATGCAGAGTCTTCTGACTACCCTAAGCAACAATGCAAGCATGTTCGGGATTCGGTTTTCCCCCTCGAAATGCAAAATGTTGCTCCAAGATTGGGTTTCATCGGCACCTGAACTAGTGATAGGGAGTGAAGTAATCGAACGTGTAGACCGCTTCACTTATCTTGGGAGTTTCATCAGTGCTGATGGCCTGATGACTGACGAAATCTCGGCACGGATACACAAGGCTCGATTGGCTGTTGCCAACCTGCGTCACCTATGGCGTAGGCGAGATAACCGTTTGCTGACTAAAGGACGAGTGTACTGCGCAGTGGTTCGCTCCGTCTTACTTTATGGCTGTGAAACATGGCCAATGAGAGTAGAAGATACTCGTCGGTTATTGGTTTTCGATCATAGGTGTCTTCGAAGCATTGCTCGTATATCGTGGGACACCCGAGTGAGCAACGCTGTTATTAGGAAACGGGTACTAGGTAAAAATGGCAGATCAATAGATGAAGTGGTGAAACTTCATCAGTTGAGGTGGTTGGGACACGTGTTGCGTATGCCTAACCATCGACTGCCTCGTTGAGCTTTGTTTTGTAGTGTAGGAATAGGTTGGAAGAAAGCTAGGGGCGGCCAGACCAAAACATGGCATAAATCCATGAAGTCATTGACGAGTGGACTTAGCCATGTCGGTAATTGTCGACTACCTGGTTGGGGTCCGCGAGATGATAATAATCGATGGCTACAGACCTTTAATGACATGGCTCAAAATCGTTCGCAATGGCGCCAGTGCATTTATTCTTTGTGTTCTCTCAAATGCTAATCTTCTGGATTCTTCAACACCTCTAGTTTCGACTCTCTAAACTTTTCTCATTGAATCATACTTCGTGAATAATATCTTCTAATTCTAACCTCTCCGATTACTTCTAATACCTTTACTACCTCTACTACTATTGGATTTGAATTGACAATTATATCTCTGTGCTGATGTGGTATGGCAACATGAACTGATGTACTTACGTACGAAGTTCTACGTTGCAACTGACTGACTGACTGACTGAGGTTGTTGCTGATGATGTCTGGCCAAGGAATTCGAAGTATTTTGCATAGAAAACTATTAATCAATACTTGTATATTGTAGGTGATGGCTTTGGTGGTTTTCCAAGTTTCCACCGCTTATAGTAGAACTGCCCTGACATTTGCATTGAAAATTCTGACTTTAGTGTTTGTTGATTGTAATTTTGAGTTGGAGATGTTCTTCAATTGTAGAAATGCTGTCCTTGCTTTGCCGATCCATGCGTGCATCAGATCCACCTTGATTGTCGATGTTGCTGTTCAGATATGTAAAGGTTTTAACGTCCTCCATGGTCCTTCTGAATTTTGTATTGATACAGGTATGTTCGATTTGGTTCTGAGTAGTGTGATCTGTTGAAATCCATGTAGCTTCGTGTATGCGTTTGTGTGCGAATATTGTGCCGCCTATGACGAGTTTGTTGAAGGCACACAGGTTTGCAAATCTCTCAACATTTTCGTTCCTTTCTCCCAGTCCATGTCGTTCCATGCTGTCCTCATATCCAACGTTGTCCATGCCAACCTTGGTGTTTAGGTCTCCCATCAGAATCATCAAATCCTTTGATGAGTATCTCTCGACGCCTCACTGGAGCCTCTCCTGGAATCGATCTTTAACGGCTTCATTCTAGTCTTTGGTAGGTGCGCATCATTGGATGACGTTCATTGTAATGTCCTCTTTCTTTGTTTTGAAGGTTGGTTTGATGATCCTGGGTCCATGAGATTCCCATCCTATCAGTGCCTTTTGTGCTTGTTTGGACAGCATCAGTGCAACTCCATGTGTATTTGAAGAATTTTCCCCTTCGTGACCAGAGTATGACAGCAGTTCCCCTGAAGCTAGTCTCAGTTCTCTGACTTACATCCAATGCGTTTCACTGATTCCTAACACCTCCAGATTGTATTTTTTTTTATCTCTGCAGCAACTTTAAATAGTCTTCCAGTCTCCCACAATGTTCGAACGTTCCATGTACCTAAAAGAATGGTTGCTCTGGTTGTGAGAAGGTGCATCGGCCTCGTGACTACCGAGGGAACTCGACTTTCAGCATGAGACGTCATAATTTTCCTGAAAGAAGACCTTAGTGCCAGAGCAGAGTAAAAATGGTTTGAATTGATTTTTCTGGTTAGCGATTTTTGGCGAGTTAGTTTTCTACGGGATAGGGTCTTCAGCCCGATGGCCGACCCTCCTCCTTTATCCAGGCTTGTACCGGCTGTAGTCCCAGAGAGGCCACAGGCCGAGTTTCGTTGAAGAAAAGAACGATAAAAATAAGTTGGTCATAAATATTGGAGATGATTATCCGCTTAGTAAATGTAGAGAAATAATAAAACACTTCAGGTTATAATGATAAAAATCCCATAATAATCATAAAATATTGGCAGATGTCAATAGCAAGTCAATACGGTACAGTAAGATCAATTGGACTATAGATTATCCTAAAAGAAATTCCTTTGGAGCAAGGTACCCAAAATTGATCAGGTGCTCTTGTATTGTGCAAGTGATAGGTTTGCATTCCTTCCTTAAAAGCCACATCAAGTAATGTCCTGAGACACTTTTAGAAATCGTCCACATGTTGTGGCTGATTTAATTTGCCTCAAAAGAGCAAGTAAATTTATTATTTCACATCGATGTAACCCAAAACGAAAGTTTTTCCTCAACACATACGTAAACAGTAGTCCAGTCTGAGAAGACTACATTAGGCTTAACTGAATTGAAAGTTTTCAGGTTTTCCGTCTATTCAAGATTTCGGCAGCCGTATCTTATTTATATTCGATATTCATAAAAGGTTTCTGTTGGGTGTTGGGTGAGTGGTTTTTTCCCTCATGAAATAAAGCTTCCTAAAGCTGTTTTATGCTTCAAATTTCACAGTTATTGTAGCATGACTTATTTGACAGAAAAAATCTGTGTTTCGGTAGTAGGACATCCAGAAAATGTATGCGTATTTATAGTTCAAAAGATTTTAATTATTTTCGTCCGATGACTAATTGTAGTAGCCCAGAAAAATTTTAAATCATATAAAGCCATTTGTTTTTTACACATAAAACGATATGTTCAATATACTCTTTGTTTTTCTATAGAATAAAACAAATTCTGATAAAGACGATGAGTTGTTACTGGCTGAACTGGTGAAATCAATGGAAACCGAAAAACCCCCTAAATCCAATGTATCTAATAAAATAAATGGATTAGAACTCAGTGAAGAAGATTTTTTTAGCAGTCATAAGACAAGTACTGGTAGCACTTCCCAGCTCCCCTATCAAACACAAAAGTTCGAAAATAGTAATTTTGGATCGTCGTTGTTGAATACTCCAAGAAACAGTGGTTCAACGACGAATTCTAAGGTAGATATCATACCTCAGTTTGTTGCTTCATGTGAATATTGAAAATATGAGTCACGATTTTATTAGTTATAAATTTTTATGAATGACAGTGCAACAAGTCCAAAAGTAACGTTTCATTTATTTGAAAAAAGCGTATCAGAGAAGTGATTAAAATATTTTCGTGAGCTTTTCTCTTTTGTATCTCACATTTCATCTAACATATAATGCTGCTATCTAACAATACTCGGACATATTCCATCAAATATAAGCAAGACTTATGAGTGGATATTGATAAAACCTACATCATTGTTAGAAATACTTTTTTGTTTGAAAAGATATAATTCTTAAAGTGTTTTCGATTGAAAATGTGTTATAAGGATGCTGATAATGCGAAGTAAATGATGGTAACACTCTTCATAATTATATGATAATAAATTGAATACCCTTTATTGGTGGCTACACTGTCATCTGCTGGTAATTTCGTATAACCGATCAACTAGAACGCCATCACTTTGGTGATTAATAATGATATAGAAGCAAATAAATCGAAATACGAAGTGATTAGAAATATTATGTTTCAGACCGCGATCAAGGAAAAATAAGTGAATGGATCATCATGCGGTGTGTAGATTAACTTGATAGTCAGACAGACAGATACAACACAAAACTTCGTACGTAAGTACATCAGTTCAGGTTGCCATACTGCATTAGCACAGAGACGCAACTGTCGGTTCAAATCACATAATGGTAGCGATAGTAGAAGTATTATGACAGTCAGTCAGTATATGAATTATTTTATATCGACTAAATAAACAAACTGGCACACAATAATTCAAATGTACATAAAAATTTATATGAATATAAGTTAGTCCTTAATTATTTGAGAAAGCACAAAGTAGGTATTAGAATCAAAATAACATTTAATAGTCTCACGAACGTTAGACTCTTCACCAGTTCAGTATAGGCCTGTTTAGGTATCCATTGTAAAAGTAAATAATATGAAGATGTTACATCATAACAGATAACTTGAGGATAAAATATTCAGAGTGTATGGAAATCTAATATATTTCATCTTTGTGTATTTCTCGTTCTTTGATAGAATGATAAAGACGATGAATTGTTACTAGCTGAACTGGTGAAATCAATGGAAAGCGAAAAATCACCAGCATCTAGTAAATCCAATAAAATGAATGAATCGGAAATCAGTGAAGAAGATATTTTTGGCAATCACAAGACAAGTAGTTCAGCGTTATATCCAAAGGTAATCATACTTATATATATATATATATATATATATATATATATGTAATTTGATAATTTTACAGGGGAGCTGGTCATGTTGATACCTACAAATTAGTTATGTATGATAACATATTATTACACTTTTAGTTCAGTGGAAGATGAAAGTAATATATTAAGAGTATTCACATAGCCACTACCTTTGACGTGGTGGCTGTGTTTGCCTATCGTGATGACCCAACTGAGCTGTTTTGGCCGGAAAATGTGTTCCTTTAGGTCCTATTGTGCCAGACAAGTCGATTGGAGAACGGTAAGACTAAATTCAGCAACTTAAGGTCTGTGGGCAAAGCCTTACTGCTGACTGTAGAGAGGTGTGACCGAAGTAAGGTGTTTCCCTCGAACACCTGGCATTTGCAGCGATGCTGTCTTCTCACAATGAAGGAAAGAGTGAGAAAAGTTTGACTCTAAAAATGTCACACCCCATCATGAATTTCCGTCTCCGGAGGTGAGACTATTTAAAGAGATGAGTTAACATTTCAGAATCTCCCCATTATAAGGCCGTGTATAAGCGGCCTCAAGCAGTTGTCCGTTGTGCTCTGTGGTTACGCTCTTAGGTCTCTAAGAATAACACTAATCCAACTTTCTTTTCAGGTTCCTCAAGAAATACTCTTCCGTGATGTGGGGCAGCCGGGAAGCGGCATCCCTCTTCATACCTCAAATAGCACATGAGACCAACTTGTTCCGTAGCTGCTTCCAGGGGTCTTGCTGGCGTAGGCATAGCATTGAGTCGTAGAGCTGAACAATCTCTCCTAGACTGGATCCCAGTAGATAGTCGCTTGTGCGCTGTTCGACTAAACGGGACAGTAGGGACTCGTAAAGATAGGGACACTCGCCGTTGCCTCTTCGTCTTATCTGCCTATGTCCCCACTGGCTGCAGTTCAGACGAGGTCAAAGATGAGTTTTACAGAAAGCTTTCGGACCTCCTCCAAAAAGCTAGGCGCTCTGATGTAGTAATAATGGCTGGTGACTTTAATGCTCATGTAAGTAGACTAAGTGAAAATGAAAGACACCTAGGTGGATGTTATGGTGTTGCGGCTCAGAGAACAGACAATGGTGACCGTCTGTTGCAAGTATGCTCAGACAACCGCCTATTCTTAGCAAACACTAACTTTAGACATAAGGAAAAGTATCGCGAGAAGATAATAATCGTTGGTTAAATACCCTGAATGACATGGCTCAAAACCGTTTGCAATGCCGCCGGTGCATTCATTCTTTATGTTCTCTCAAATCCTAGTCTTCTGGATTCTTCAACCCCTCTAGTTTTGACTTTCTAAACTTTTCTCACTGAATTGTACTTCTTGAATAATATCTTCTAATCCTAACCTTTCCGATTACTTCTAATACCTTTACTACCTCTACTACTATTGGATTTGAATTGACAATTATATCTCTGTGCTGATGTGGTATGGCAACATGAACTGATGTACTTATGTACTAAGTTCTACGTTGCATCTGACTGACTGAAGCAGAAATATAAACATCTTTTTACATGGTGGCCTTTAAAGTCGACACACAATGGGCCCAACTATGCCACATCGCTGTCAGCCATATTTGTAGAGGCTTGATATACGACTGCCGCTCGTACTGGGGCACATGTTTAGATTCAGATCATCCTCTAACACGAGGATGTATATCTCTAAGGAATGAAGCCCCTTAGGGTTTTACTTAACGATAAAAAAGCCAAGAGTGTATTTCAGAAGCAAGTAGAAAAACAGGCAACCATGTAGTGATTCTCACCCTTAGGCATCTTGGAATAGTATACATGAAGCTGTGAAAACAGCAGTGATATCTGCCGGTGAGTTAAACCGGAAGGCTAACCTTTCATAGGCTCTCTCCTCCCACATTTCTGATCGAGTGAGAGTTTATGGTGAACTGTCGTAAGAATTGATTACTTCAGGTGGTGTTTTTTGCGATCATCTGCTCTCCAAACTTTCTATTTAACCTCGTTCTCGATATGCTTCGAGAGTTTGCACTCGTCTTCTGACTTTGCAGGGGTTGACCTATTAGGAGATGCACTTGTTGACTTAGCATATACAATTGATATAGTTCTGTTTGTTGAAAACGCTGACAGTGCCGAGTCTTCTGACCACCTCAGCTAACAATGCATTCATGTTCGGGATATGATTCTCCCCTCTCGAAATACAAAATGTTACTTCAGGATTGTTTTGCATCGTCACCTGAATCCGTGGTTGAGATTGAAGTAGTTGGGCGGATTGACCGCCTCACTTATCTTGAGAGTCTCGTCAGCCCTGATAGCCTGTGCACAGATACACAAGGCTCTATTGGCCTTTGCACTGGTAGCGTAGGCGAAATATCTGTCTTTTAACCAAAGAGAAAGTTTACTGTTCAGCGGTTCTCTACGTCCTATTTTACGGTCGTTAAACATGACCGCTAAGAATGGGCGATATTCATCCTTAATCCTCATAGTTTTAGAATGAGCAGGGCAAAAAAATTGATATGATGGAAAAGTGGGATAAGTTGTACGTATTCATTAATGATAATTATCACATGAATTTCGACTTTCAACTAATATGTATAGTCACAGATTCAAATTCGTTTTTATTATTATAGGGAGATAATTTGATTGACTTTTCGCAGCAGATTTTTAAATCGTAAAGTAATGATCGATTTGCATGATTTGTATCTACTAAGTATCTAAAAGATTCTAGTTTCCATTAGATGATTTGGGGGGGGGGATTTCGGTGGTATTCATTATTGAAAAAGTTTTTGTTGAAGAAGAATGCTTTTGTTTACATTATATTACTAGAAATCAATCAATCGATCAATAGCAACGTAGAACTTCGTACGTACGTAAGTACATCAGTTCATGTTGCCATACCACATTTGCACACAGGTGTAATTGTCAATTCAAATCCAATAGTAGTAGAGGTAATAGAAGTATTAGCAGTAATCGGAAAGATTAGGATTCGACAATAATATTCAAGGAGTATAATTAAATGAAACTAGTTTAGAAAGAGAAAGATAAAGGTGATGAGGAATTCAGAAGAGTAGAGTTTGATATAACACAAAGAATGAATGCACCTGCACCATTGCAAACGATTTTGAGCCATGTCATTCAGGGTATCTAACCATCGATTATTATCATCTCGCGGGCTCCAACCAGGTAGTCGACACCTACCGACATGACTCAGTCCAGTGGTCAATGACTTCATAGATTTGTGCCATGTTTTGGTCTTGCCGTTCCTAGCTTTCTTCAAACCAATTCAAGCCATTACTAGAAAGTATTTCACTGTTGACATTCAGGACTTAATTTCGATCATTTTCGGTTAGTATAGATGCATTATAAGCGAATTGTCTCTAGAAATAGCCATTTGGTTGTAAGTTTTTAGAATAGATGGACTGTAGTTAAACGCTGGACCCCCAAGAGGGTGGATTTTGTCCCATTTGAGACTCCTACTTAGAATACACGTACATCCAATTGACAAGTCATAAATAGAACCAGTTTCATGACCTGGATCCTACTGCAGACCACAATCCATCTATTCTAAAAAGGAATGTGCTTTCAATACTTGCTAGTATTTAGTAGTTCCACAACAGGCTATTAATCTGTGATAAATACTGTTTTAATTTAACTTTTAATAAACCTTTGGATCTTGTTGTTTGCAATTAAATTTTATCATTATTTCGAAATTAAAAATATATTCAATTCACAGCTGACAGAGGCTTCTTCAAATAATGATACTTTGGGAACTAGTTCAGGAAATACTGTGAAATTGGCTACCACTGATTCAAAGCCAAATGTTCGTCAAGCTGTATTGGATTATATCAATCCAAAAACTTCTAATTCTGGTTTAGATTTGTTGAAAAATCGTCATAAAGAATACAAAGTGAGTTTCTACTTTTTTTTTCTTCTTCCTCTTCAAACAATCATTCAGTTATTCTTTTTGTAGAGTATATTAGGCTTTTGTAAGGTAGGTGGTTGGGTTGCCTTGAACATTTCCTATTCAAATAAATGGTTTGATTATAATGGTTTTGGGTGTCAATAGTTTTTATGTTTGTACGATAGAAAATATAAATTTGATGTCTATTCCAATGATTTAAATTGCTATGTAGAATAAAATGAATTTGTCAAAAAAAATTCTTACAAAATTGTTTGACTATGATTACTGTTTCACATTTACATTTTCTATTCTATTAATTGTTTAGTTTATTTTTGCTTCAGATATGTACATTGATCTATTTTTGAAAAGTGTGTGTATTTGTCTGTGTTATGTAAGAATCACTCTATATAGTGTAGTTCAATTTCGACTGTTTTGTCTAACCTCTCTTACTCTTCAGCTGTGTGAAACTAAATGTTTATAGCAAATTACAGCATGAAAAGAAATAAATTAACTTTGTATGTAACTGAAAATCTGCAACAAAATGAAATGAAATGTCTGACCTATTTGTTATTGATATGTAGTGTTTTCTCAGTTAGTCCGATTTCTTGTAGTCGTCTATCTTGTATCTGTTTTTTTTTCATCCTTTTAAAAAAATGTCTCTTGAACATTCACATCGAATCTGATTGTTTCTCCAATGTATTATTTTAAAATTCAACATTCTACATTTCTACGGAAATTTATAAAATCTGGATTTATTTTTGTTGCACAATGGTTGTAGAAATATCTTAAATAACTCATGTAAGAAATTCATGCCTAGTGAAACTTCTAATTTTGAACGTCGAGAGTTAGTACGTTAAGCTTTTATGACTATAAATCGGTGTTTGCGCCTTAAGTATAAAGTGATGTTAGGTGTTAGGGGAGGGGAAGTAATTGATAGTCTAACATCTCAGCATAGTGCATATACCATCAAGTTATCCAGACTAACAGTTACATTGCAACTTGATCGATAGGATTCGATAGGCACTGAAAAAGATTATAAAAGTGTGACATCGGTCCACCGCCCACCAGTCAAGTTATAAAGTTAGGATAAACTCCGTAAAAGTACTGAAATTTTATTCATTTGTGCAAATAAATTTTTTTTTAGTAGACAGATACATATTGTAGAAATTATCTGTCATTTAGTTATCTTTTTTTTCCAATCTGCATTGAAAAACAAACTTTTTTTCAAAATATTTAGTCCCAGACAAAGCATGTTATAATAGATGAAAACCTAGTGTAAAAATTTATGACTTTAGATATTCCATCGTAGTACTTTTTTTATGTCACTTATCGGAAGCATTTTAGAATGAAGGTTGACGAAATAAGATTTTGTCCCCAAATCACTCTTGATGGAGATGCCTTGGAGGACGTTAACACCTTTACATATCTGGGCAGCATCATCGACGAGAAAGGTGGATCGGATGCAGATGTGAGGGCGCGGATCGGCAAAGCAAGGGCTGCATTTCTACAGTTTAACAATATCTGGAACTCCAAACAACTTTCAACCAAAACCGAAATCAGGATTTTCAATACAAATGTGAAGACAGTTCTACTGTATGGAGCGGAAACTTGGAGAACTACCAAAGCCATCATCCATAAGATACAAGTGTTTACTAACAGTTGTCTACGCAAAATACTTCGGATTCTTTGGCCAGACAAAAAGAGAACAAACCAGATTCCAGTGGAGTTGGAAATCAGGAAGAAGTGGTGGAAGTGGATAGGACACACTACGAAAAGCACCTAACTGCGTCACAAGACAAGCCCTCACATGGAACCCTCAAGGCAAAAGGAAAAGAGGAAGGCCAAAGAATACATTACGCCGAGAAATAGAGAAAGATATGAGAGGCATGAACAAACATTGGACAGAACTGGAGAGAGAAGCCCAGGACAGAGTTGGTTGGAGAAAACTGGTGGGCGGCCTATGCTCCATTGGGGGTAACAGGCGTAAGTAAGTAAGTAAGTAATTACGGACTGCCTTTAGTGATTTAGCATTGCATATAGCAAGATAAAAATGCAAATCATTGGATGCCAACTTAGTATTCTCAAAGTTTAGAGCTCACTACACGAAATGAAAGTCCTGAATTTATTCCTTCGAGAAGTCGTCGGTGTAGATTGCCAAGGAGTCCTATACCAGCATGAAAGGCCTTTATGGTGTCTCCGGATTTTTACCAATAAACCAACTAATATCTTTCTCTGATGTAAACCAAAAACAATCCAGCGACGTTAACAAACTCTCTAGGGCAGATTGCATTTTATGATGTTTATTATCCAACCAATTAATTAATACTTCCTGTTTTGATTTGTAAGAACAAACATGTATTATGCTTCGTGTTAACAACATAATATATTCTAGACTATCCCGTGAGTTTGATTTTTTTAAAAATCACCTCACATTATCATCTGTTCTCGTGTTTTGTTTTTGTAAGCAGATCCTGAATCGCGGGAACTCGCTCTAGTTTTATGTATAATGATTTCAACAGCAGTACACATGTAGTTACGCCGGCATGTCTAACAAAGTTAACTCGTTCTAGGTTCCGATTCTTTAATTCGTACATTTAACTTAATGGTTTGTTAAGAAATCTTTTAAAATGTCGCATTTAATAGTTTGTCAAGAAATGCTGATTATTTTTTGAAACTCAGCCCATATTCGGACAAAAATTTACAATGTCAAAATAAACATATTCTTTTGCAATGAGCAAAATATGTTGATCATAATTGACGTACGGTGTAAGCAATACATATAATACATGTTTATGTCTCTAAAACTAGTGTTTCACCGATTCAGTGATGTTATGTACCATGTTTGAACACACATTGTTGAGCTACATCATGACTTACAAGATGTCGTTAGTATATAGTAGTTGACACTGATGGGCAGATTAGTGAGGAAAATTGAGAGATTGTATAACGATTATGTGCAATGCATTTTTCTATATCGCTTTCAAGATATTACTATCCTGTTTAATTTCCTACTTTGTTTTTTGTCTAATTTCATTAATTAATTTTGTTTTGAAAAAAAATCTGCAAGTAATTTTCTTATATACTGTTCTTATTGTGTACATAAGTTAGCTGCTCTGAAAGCTCGTGATGCAGGTCAACTAGGCAAAGCAAAAGAATTATTAGAAGCATCAAAATGTATTGGTGAAGCTATTGTGAATATAGAAGCTGGCAAAGAATCATTTGATCCAGAAACAGATCTACCTCCACCACCATCCGAGTATGAATTTTCCAATGAAAGCAATTCAAATGATGGAACTGTCGCTGCCCAACCATCAGCTTCATCTCAACCTGTAAAATCAACTGTACCAGATATCATGAAAACGTCTATTGTCTGTAAAGAAAATATTTTAGCCCGTATAACCTACTATAAAGTAAGCTTAAATATTTGTGTAACGATATTATTATTTTTATCTACATGTTCACCGGTGTATTCAGTCAATATTGAATCCTATTATTATGTTATGTTATTAATGGTTAGCACAATTGATTCTGTATAATTTAACTGATAGTTCATCTAATATCTTAATAACCTTGATTTTGATTAAGATGAGAAAATGTAACTACTGAATAACCAATTCGAAAAAGTTAAGTGATCAGGTACTTCATTATTCAAATTGTAGTTCACCAAAACAGTTGGTGATAAATATTACGTTTAATAGGATGTCGGCTTGTGGTGATAAAGGTCATTGGTCGAAATTCTATGGAAACGCTGATCTTTTGGAATACATCCAGTAGTGAAATATATGGCGCGCGCTTCGTCCTATTCCGAACTCGTTAACTATATACACCTTCATCCTGTTGATGCTCGAACTAGATACTGTTTACTTCATACGCTACTGTGTCATCCACTCCGCTACTGAGTCCATATAATAACTGTCTTGTATAATAAAGTAATTTTTAATTCATATATTTTAGTTATTTGAATCCCTCCATTGATATTTAAGACTGTAGTTGTTAGTCTCTTTGGCATTTACTCATCCCTGATATTGTCATCAAATCACAACCATTTTTAAGCAGAGATGAATGATGTCTGATAGTTTTGAAGTTAGTTTTCGATAAACCATAATTAGCTGGAATTATTCATTAATATTTAAAAACAAAATCATAGTAAACTATATTATACAATTGTTTTTCACTTAATTTTACTTTTTCTTCTATGAAAGGAAAAATTAAAAGAAATTACCAATGATGAATCAAAGAAACGTCGTTACAATCGTATCCTTACACGCTATGATGAAGGATTGCGAGCTTGTGAACATGGAGTTACTTCATTTGAATTTGAAGAGTTAGTTCCTCCACCAGGTTATCCACCACTAACTGATCGTTCTAAAATGGGTAAAACTGTCAGTCCAACTGGCAATGATTCAAAACCATCTCTTACAAAACCTACCACTGGACATAATGTGACAAAAACTAAAACACAAGCAATTGTTGAACTATTAACTAAACGTCAAGATGAATTGAAAGAAGCCGCTAAAACTGCAAAACAATCCGGTAATATTGAATTGGCTAAAACATACATACGATCAGTTCTTGGAATGAATCAAATGATACAAGCTGCTGAAGCTGGATTACCAATAGATTTGACTCAATTACCACGACCACCTACACTTACTGATGCTAATGCATCGAAACCTATATTAAGTGGATTAAAATGTGATCCACCTGTAAAGTATGCTGTTACTTTTAATTCATTATCAGGTAAATATGTTTTCAAATTTCCTGACAAAAAATTAATCGCCTTTAATTAAAGTTTTATTTAACTCATTAGATATGTTTGTATTGAATCATAGACATGTTTCTTTCCACTGGTGACACTTTCTAATGATCGATCTCCTACCTAATAAAGCCGATAGATGTTATTTCCACATTCATTGTTACTCTTGACTGAAATGTCTCCACTGTACTTACTTTCTATCTTTGTCCAAGATTATAACTTTCGATTTTCTATCTTGCATACCTTTATATTTCGTCTTCTTGAACATATTCTAACTTTAGTAATTCTGACTACCACTGCTACTATAAACATTGTGATTCCTTTTCTATTCAGCTTGTTAATTTCATCTTATCGTGATAGTGTGTTGTATGGCAAGCTGTTTAGACATGCTTTTTTTCTAAAAAAAACATGGCCGTTTAGAGTAGAGGACTTTCTTAGGTTACTAGTCTTCGATCACCGATGTCTCTGAAGCATTGCACGTATATCCTGGGACAACCGTATAAGCAATGCTGTCGTTAGGAAACGAGTTCTAGGTAGAGATGGCAAATCAATAAATGAAGTAGTGTAACTTCATCAGTTGAGGTGATTGGGACATGTGTTACGAATGCACAACCACCGACTGCCTCGACGACCTATGTTTTGCAGTGTAGGAGTAGGTTGGAAGAAAGTTAGGTGCGGCCAGACCAAAACATGGCACAAATCCATGAAGTCACTGACAAGTGGACTGAGTCATGTTGGCAGAAGTAGGCTACCTGATTGGGGTCCGCGAGACGAAAGTCACTGATGGTTAGAGACCTTGAACGACATGGCTCAGAATCGTTTGCAATGGCACAGGTGCATCCACTCTTTGTGTTCTTTTTAATTCTAACCTTCTGCATTCCTCATAATCTCTGTCCTTATCCGTCTAAATTTATCTCACTAAATTATACTTCTCGAACCATATCTTCGCTTCCTAATCTTCTCCATTAGTGCTAATACTTCTACTATCATTATCACTTGGATTTGAAGTGACAGTTGCGTCTCTGTGCTGATGTGGTATGGCAACCTGAACTGATGTACTTATGTACGAAGTTCTACGTTGTATCTGTCTGTCTGTCTGCTTTTGTTCTAGATTGGTTTTGACTGTCTGAATAACTACGACTCTTTTTAATTAAATTTCTTGTTTTGACGTAGCTCCCATCATTACTTATCTGTATTTTAAGGTTATAAAACCCGTAGTGCGTATAGTCAACTTCATAGTACTTATCGAATTCAGTGTTAATTACAATTGTATAAGGTATATAGTAGACGAAGTCTATTTAAATTCTAGTTGGTTTGTGTGTAATAACTTGAATTATAAATAAAAAATAATAATGCTGTCTAAATAATTTTTTTTATTAGAGTTAGATAGTACCTACCAGTGGAATTTGGGTCACGTGTTTTGTCCTATTCTAGACTTGTCAACTTGCATCGCATTATTGATGCTGACCTTGAAACTCAAACTCAGTATATTTCTCTTTCAATGTCAGCATGTTATTTACATACATTCAACTATTGAGTCCAGATAGAGTTACTAACTACTTGTTCATTGTTAATAAAGCCTCAGAATTTGCAATGAATACTAATTACTTTCATTCTATAGTATGAACAATGGAACAATACAAACCTTTACAAAATCGTCATCATCATCAGATGTATTTTATTACTTAATGCTTTTTCTTTCTTCTTCTTCTTCACAAATCTATCTTTTAAAAATAAACTTTATATTAATTCTCTCTCTCTATGTATATATTATATACAGGTGATCAATTATATAAAACCTATTCAGAAATATTAACAGAACAAGAAAATCTAATTCATCAATTAATCAATCAACATCGTCGTAATGGTGGTGCAAATGCACAACCAATTTTAACCAAATTATCTGATTTACTTAGTGTGAATACATGTATGAAGAAATTATTATCGAAATATACTCATCAGTATGTATCGAATTTGACTGCTTATTTTGAATATGCCAATTTGCCTAAATCTAATATGAATGCTGAATTAGCAGATGATATATTAGAAATTAGTAATATACATGGTATAGCTTATCCAATCCCATCGAATTATTCACATATTGATACATATGTTGAAATTGAATTCAATTTAACTAATACTAATACACCAATGAAATTTTCTACAAATGTAGTTAAAGCTAATAGTGAACCAGTCTATAGTCAAACAGTTAAAGAATTTCATGTGAATACTAAAAGTCATTCATATCGACGATTTGTTCAAAATAATCGTTGTTTAAAAGCAACAGTAAGTTAGTTGTTTACTTTTTTTTTCTTATTCGTTTATAATTGTACCTGAACATAAATTGGATTTGTTCTATGTGGTATTTCTTTTATGTATATTAGGATTGTCTTTTCTCTTTTGTTAATGAGTTGCACTTGGCTTCCGATAATTTTTTACACATTGAAATCATCAATCAATCATTGTTAGACCAGCATTAGAAACCTGGAAGCACTGGACGGCCGTCTCGTCCTGGTATGGGACTCATCAGTGGCAGTGCACATCCACGACTAAAAAACAATAATCTCCATATCTCTAATTGAAAAATCGTAAAATCTGCTCACTAGTGACTAGCTTCGTGAGGAAATTCTCGGAGTTCTAGTGAGAAGACGTGACCAATGGAGTTCAATCCTGTCGGGCGTAGGCAGTAACTACCAAAGACAAATGGGTGAGGTCACACAAAATACCTAGATTGATCCAAGTTAGACATTAACACCGCTGGATTCCGTCCCAGTGGTCCAGAGGTTAGATGTTTGCGCGCATGCCTGAGGGTCCCTGGTTCGAATCCTGTGAGGTGCACGAGTCGTGGATGCGCACTGTCACTGATGAGTCTCATACCAGGACGAAACGGCCGTACAATTCTTCCAGGTTTCTAATGGTGGTCGAACAATGAGTGATTGGTGATTTCAATGTGTAAAAACACTAATCTGCATAACTCTTAATGATAATTTGTTATCGACACCATTATTGGCCCAAATACAAAATGTTTAAACAAATGATAAGTACATATATGACGTACTTGATTATTGATGAACATAAATGTTGATATTATTCTCGTTTGAGATGATGCGGGAAGCATAGTACTTCAATAGAGAGATCTTGAAGGTACCGTTTACTTTGTTTTCTGCAGTTTTCCATGAAGCTTTTTTTTATCTTTCTAAACAACATCAATGCAGAAGCATGATATTAGAATTTTCTTATAAATTATTAACTGCTTGATCTGTTGAGATGAGATTTGATTAGCTATTGTCCATATCTATACTGTCATCGTGTGTATATTTATTTCGACAATATTGTTCCCTTAACTAATCTCTTTAACTTTAGGATTAATAATCATTTTTATTTTCATTTACTAAACTAAGTCTATTTCAGTTTTTTTATTGATTGTTGAATGATTGGATTGTTACGCTTCCGAAAATTCTCTTAATTGCATCGCTTTACTTTATTGTCCATATTAACGTATTGTTTTTGCAAAAGAATCAATAGTTCTTCATTCATACATCCATACATTACCTTGAACGACATGGCTCAAAATCGTTTGCCATGGCACAGGTGCATCCATTCTTTGTGTTCTCTGAAATTCTAATCTTCTGAATTTCTTATCATCTCTATATTTTTCTTCCTAAAGTTACCTCACTGAATTATACTTCTTGAATCATACCTTCAAACCCTAATCTTCTCCATTACCAGTAATACTCCTACTATCTCCGCCATTATGGGATTTGAACTGACAGTTGCATCTCTGTGCTAATGTGGTATGGCAACCTGAACTGATGTACGCACGTACGAAGTTTTACGTTGTAACTGACGGACTGACTAACTGACTGACATCAACACTGCGATGCAGGTACATCTAGCTGACGAGGTCAAAATAAAACAAAATGTGCGTCCTGGATTACTCTGCTCTAGCCATTATCCACTTCTGCTAAAAGTTGATAATTAGTACTAACGATTATAATTAGATAAAGATTGGAACTTTGTCAATAATTAACATATGATCAAGTCAATTTAATCTCTCATATTCAAACGATACCATGTGAATAATTAAACTTATTACTTATGATTAAGCTTTCGATTAAAATCGATCACCATTTATTGTGTATTCATTATCTGTTGTCCTTTATGTTTCTTTGATGAAAAATAATTTGGTTATCTTTCAGCTTGATTTACTCTTATTGTGTTCTGTATATATTCAGACAGACAGATACAACACAGAACTTCTTACATAAGTGCATCAGTTCAGGTTGCCATACCATGTCAGCACAGAAACGTAACTGTCACTTCAAATCCAAAAGTGATAGCGATAGTAGAATTATTAGCAGCAATGAAGAAGATTAGAGAGCAAAGATATGATTCGACAAGTATAATTCAGTGAGATAAATTTAGAAGGAGAAAGATAGAGATTATGAGGAATTCAGAAGGTTAGAATTAGAGAGGACACAAAGAGTGGATGCACCTGTGCCATTGCAAACGATTCTGCGCCATATCGTTCAAGATCTCTCACTATTGGTGACTATCGTCTCGCGGACCCCAATCAGGTAGCCTACTTCTGCCAACATGACTCAGTCCACTTGTCAGTGACTTCATGGATTTGTGCCATGTTTTGGTCTGGCCGCCCCTAACTTCCTTCCAACCTACTCCTACACTGCAAAACATAGGTCGTCGATGTAGTCGGTGGTTGTGCATTCGTTACCCATGTCCCAACCACCTCAACTGATGAAGTTACACTGCTTCATTTATTGACTTGCCATCTCTACCTAGAACTCGTTTCCTAACGACAGCATTGCTTAAACGGTTGTCCCAGGATATACGAGGAATGCTTCGGAGAAATCGGTGATCGAAGACTAGTAGCCTACGAAAGTCCTCTACTCTTAACGGCCATGTTTCGCATCCGTATAGTAGGACAGAGCGAACTGCTGAACAGTACACTCGTCCTTTGGTTAACAAGCGGATATCTCGCTTACGCCATAAGTGACGCAGGTTGGCACAAGCCAATCGAGCCTTCTGTATCATTCTGTGTATATTCACAAAATAACTAGTCAGATTCTAATCTATCTTTAATTGAATTTACTTGGTATGCGATTTTCAATTATCATCAGCAAAGTTTCATTAATCTTATTGTAAAAATATTTATGTGTTGCCATTGTAAAGTTCAATCTTTTGTTGTTATTGTCTCTGCTATCTCTAAAATTCGGAAAAAAATTAAGAATCAAACTATATTAGGTTAAAAATCTTCAGTTTCACATTTCTTCAAACTAATACGCATTCTGTCTGGTAAGATTTTTCATTATTTCTTTTATTCATTGTTAATCTTTCACATTTTATAAGTATAGTTCAATTTTGAAGGTCGTGTGTACAAAGAATTTCATCCAACTTGTTATTTCACTTATCATGCTTAACTTTGCTTCTTAATTGGATAATTAAAAATGGAATATCTATTAAAATGTCATTTAAGCATCATCACAGGACGACCTTAAGATGAACTACTTTTGAGTCATAATTTTTGTATTCTATTATTTGATTAACATCGTGTTGTCTTGCTGAAATAAAAAGTCATAATTTTGATCAATAAACATTTTAAATTTCCTTTTTTCTTTTCTTCTCAGGTTTATTACAGTCGTGGCCTATTTCGAAGTTGGGGTGTTTTGGGTGTCACTGAAATTCCACTGACTGGACTTGTTCAATCAGCGACAGTCACTCATGTTGGTGATTTGAAAGACGGTCGTAAAGTAGTAGGGGGTCGTCTACAAGTACAGTTAAGACAACGTGAATCACTTAGTGTAAGTTATTATCAGTTATTCGAATCTTTACTGTTCATTATAGTCTACATTCGATATGATAGATCATTTTTGATTTTGGTAAATTAGGTGAACGTATTTATTAGTAATTTAAAAAACTGATAATCAAAAAAATATTTATTACTACCATTATGAAACAATAATTACTTTGTTTATGGATGAAACATCTTAGAATTGTCGATATTCTTTTTTCGAGAATATTCTCTATAGTTTTTCATAAACGAACCCGAATATTATCGCGGTTTTATGCGATGTTGATTGTTCCGATAATTGTGTGTTTGTGTGCTAATTTCATCTTCTAAGATTAATTGTTTTAAACCACTACAGTTTAGTAAACCAATGTCAGTTAGTCAGTCAGTTACGACGTAGAACTTCGTACGTGTGTACATCAGTTCACGTTGCCATACCACATTAGCACAGAGACACAACAGTCAGCTCAAATCCCATCGTGGTGGATGTAGTAGACGTATTAGCGGTAATGAAAAATATTAGGGTTCGAAGATACTATTCAAGAAGTACAGTTCAGTGGGGTAACTTTAGAAAGAGAAAGAAAGATATGATAAGGAATTCAGAAGATTAGAATTCCATAGAACACAACGAGTGGATGCGCTTGCGCCATTGGAAACGGTTTTCAGCCATTTCGTTCATGGTCTCTAACCATGGGTGACTTTCGTCTCGCGGACCCCAATCAGGTAGCCTACTTCTACCAACATGACTCAGTCCACTAGTCAGTTACTTCATGGATTTGTGCCATGTTTTGGTCTGGTCGCCCCTAACTTTCTTCCAACCTACTCCTACACTGCAAAACATAGGTCGTCGAGGCAGTCGGTGGTTGGGCATACGTAACACATGTCCTAACCACCTCAAGTAAACCAATGGTGAATAAATTGCTGATTGTATGCTTTTCAATGTACTCAAAGTTGATATTTACAATTATCTGATATAGCGCAGATGAAAGTTCATTCGCCCAAAATGTGAAAATGTTCGATCATGTCATAGATAGTCATTTTTGATGGCGCTTGAAGACTAGAGCATAGATTTTTGTCGTTTCTAAGAAATGCTAACTGATAAAATAGAGTTTGATAATTATTTTTATACTTTAATTTAAAATTTCATATTTGATATGTTTCTTAAGAAGTATATATGGTCTACAAATCTGCTGTTTGTTGTATATTCACACTGTCGTGAAGGCGATCAAGATTTGAAGTGTCACTTTACCATTCAATGAAGAAATAAATTGTCAAAGATTTCCCACTGTTTTAACATTCAGTAATACGTGAAATTTCTACTATAATGTCCGGATGATAAGTATTCGCTGCTAAAGATTATCGTTAAATAAATAAATTTGTTATCTTCGTAAAATTCTGCATGATCGTAGAGAGGTTGTCATCGAAGTTTAAATGCTCGCTATGAGACCTGAATATCCTGTGTTCGATGCTTAGTGAGATCATGAATCTTCTGCTGTCGAGGAGTCCCTCAGTTGGACACAGCAGCTGTCCAGTTCTTCCTCGTTTCCACTAGTCACCTAATGATGATTAGTTTGTGAACTAGAAAACGAATGAACGAATGTTCAATTTCCTGATAATCCTTTTCGAATGCTACCGCCTTGACCATTACAAATATTTGGAAAATAGTTTTATCATAAGCTGAGATGAGGTTAGTATCGGGTGTAAATCAAAACAACTTAACCAATCATTACGCTGCGGTATAAACGGGACAGCAATATGTTCATGTATATATGTACGTCATACATTCTGCCGTAGTTAATTACTGAAGTAAAATCAATGTTTTTAACGAGTAATTTTAAAGCAGAACATTTACATGTATAGCCTAAGTGTAAGATGAAGTAAATACTAGATAGAATAGAAAATGTGTTAAACGTTGTGTTACGCCTGCACGTAAACACGTCATTTTGATATACTTGAACTATTACGAGTTTACCTAGTCGGAATACGAGAGCGAGGATCGAAGATCCGGTGACACGACATGCTACTCAAATCCGATTATTCCAACCCCCATAAGAAGACAAGACTTGATATGAAGTAGAATCTGTATTCTACAGGCATCCAGAAATTACGAGGTACGAATCCAGAAGAGAATCAGGATCCCAGACTAGGGATCCGGGACCGGGTGCTGGTCCTGGTCATAAAACATTACAAATAATGCGTATTTATACATTTTGGTCGAATAGGAAACAGCATCGAATTCTGTGACATTGACAGTTAGGACGAACAATAGGAAACAACCTTTGAAGTGACATTGATAGTCAGGTCGACTAATAAGAAACAACATTGGAGTACGTGACATGGATATTTAGGACGACCATAAAATTGACCAGTAGGAATTAACCAATATGAATAGACCAATAATTCTCTTAGGATATTTGATTAATATCCTAACACGTTCTTTTGTTAACTTGTATCAATTCACACTTGAAGTGCAAATTTATTTCTCTTTTTATATTTCTACTAATATTATTCATGTTTTAGGGAGAAACTGTTGTTTATCAACAACAACCTTGGCTTTTGTTATCTGCATCGAAACAAATTAATGAATCACCTAAACAACTTCTCCAAATTGAAAATTCCAAGAATAGTCCATCTTCATTGTCTGCTTCACCTACACTAAAACAAACTGATTCACGTAGATCTATTCGAAATGAAAATACACAAAATAGTCCTGTTACTTCATTACCAACAAAGCAACCGAATTCACCTAGACCTATCAGAGTTGAACATGCACAACATAATCTTGATTCTCATTCACCTTCTGTTTCACCAGCAAAGCAACCGAATTCATCTAGACCTATCAGAGTTGAACATGCACAACACAATCTTGATTCTCATTCACCTTCTGTTTCACCAGCAAAGCAACCGAATTCACCTAGACCAATCAGAATTGAACATGCACAACACAATCTTGATTCACATTCACCTTCTTCTGTTTCATCAAAAACAACCAATTCTACTTCATCACCATCGTCTCGTATTGTTATCATAAGAAACACAGATAATGCCTAATTGTTTAATAATTCATAATATTACTTCTTTCAGAGAATTTCATTCAAAGTGAATCATTCACATGATGACGATGATGATGTTTTATTTCTTTTTTTTTGGTTGTTGTTTGTTTAAACGCATCCAATATAGAGATATATTGGAGATTTATTGCTATTGATGCAAATAAATGTACAATTTATTTATTTAAACTAGTTATTCAAGAGATACATGTATTAATTTCAAAACTATATTTCATGTCATATGATAATGAAATTTGTAATTTTGCAAAATTATTGCTTTCTTTGAATTTCTACAAATTATTTAGAATTTTCTTTATTTTTGCGGAATAATTCTTATCAATACTTCAATGGTGGTTATTCTATGTGAATTTTCTTTGTGTGTACTACTGAATAATATATATTTCTGGGAATAATAGAGAAACTAGTGCTGCTGTCTATCTAGCATGAATGACTGATAAAATAATATTTGATAATCTCAGCTTGTACGCACGTGTTTTGTTTCGGATAATTGATAGTTACATACACATGTAGCTATTATGTTACTCCGTATATACGATAGTACAGTATTTGTCCGTCGGATTCGATTCTGTAGTGACAGTTTTTTTTGAGTTTGAATGCTATTCAGGATCTACTGTTTTTCCTGCCACCACGTAATGTTTAATGTAAATCAGTGTATTTTTGATATTAAGATGAGGTTATTGGTCGAATTCACTAACTGATGCTTGTCATTTCGAAGTCGAATTCATGTCGCCTATCTTGTTTGCTTAAGCTTTGGGTTGTCTTACTCATAGTTGAATTAGACTCATTGTCCATTTCAATCAGATATCGCCTGACCAATTGGTCAAGTATAGATCCTGTACTGAATTCCAATTCAGATTTATTGTTTTCTGAACTGGAATTATAGTCCGTTTAGTGTTAGGTTGCAGTAAGTATGACCTATTTAAAATACATAAAGTTGTGATCAAGTCTTCAATACATACCTGCATACTGCAAAGAGTTGACTCCGTTTGTTCCATAATCATTTTTCGAAATAGAACTTGATACAAGATATTGAATTAATTTTCAAAACTTCGGCTATATTACTAAGTTCTTTCACAGACATCATTATTTATGAAAATGTTTATTGTATACTTATTACAAAACTAAGCGCATCTTGGACAAGTTTTTACAACTATTTTAATATCCAAACGTCTTTATATGGTAACAAAAACTTAACGTTTTAGCGAATTTCAAGGATAATCAATTGTGATTGAGCAATGCGTTTAATGAAATCAAGTCATCGACGATGAATTTTGAGTGCACATGTTAACTACTTATATCTAGTGAGTAAGTAGCTTAGTATTGCTACAAAATGTGTTGACCTATTTTTTGTCTACTTAATCATTTGAATAGGTTGGTTATAAGTTATTCACATGATATATTGATTGATACTTAGCTTTTTTTGAATTGTTTACGTATGAAGCATTCCTCACTCTCATCGCTATCACAGTTTTATTATTGTGCACATTATACATATCATGGCTGCTGCATGTTCATTCGAAAATTGAATTCTTAGACGTGTTTTAATCAGCAAGGCAGTAAATCACATCCTTTGGTAATTAATTTACAACATGGAAAAGTTTGTATATTTTGATGGAAAATTCCACCTGGAGCTCCTCCTGGTCTACTGCCAGTCCTAAGCCCATATAATAGAGGACGGTTGGACATTTGGTTAGCAACCCCATCCCTTAAGAAAAACTAGCTTGTTAATAAAAACACAAACCATAAAAAATAATCCAAACTATTTAAAGTCTACCGTGGGAGTTAGACGAGTTATGACGTTATCGTTGATGGATGGTAGTCGCCTGAAAATTCTGCATAGACTTATTTTTAATTAGCTTACCAATATCATATTTTCACATAGAAATTATTTTTATCATGAAACAATCAAATGACTTTCATTATCTCATAAATTACATATTACTCGTGTTTATCTCCATTATTTCTTCTTAAATGATTGTGTGTAATATTTGTGTATCACTTAACTAGCGCGCAATACATTCAGTTATTTAAACTCATCCGAAACCCTAAGACTTAAATACTTTGTACGGATATACTGATTTTGAATAAAATTCATACATTTCAATAAGTATCTTATAAGTACTATTTCTAAATTATCGTGTTATAGTTTTAATAAAATAATAAAATAAATTTATTCGTTAACGGGAATAAATAAGTAGTAAAGTATAAGACGATAGCTTACAATATTCTCAATGATGATTATGAACGCTTCAAAATAGTATCAGCGTAAACATTAAGAGTTTATTATTCACTGATTGATTATCCTCTATGTTACAGTGTAGTAAGACAACAAAACTGGAGTGTAGTTTTTTTTTTTATCTATGTAACGATAAGTTTTATTTTGTTCAATTATTTCTTTCAAAGGCCTTAACCATAACTAAGTTAATTCACCTATAACCTTTTCACCTGTATATCTTAGGACATATTATCATGAGTACATCTTTTGGTTTGGCATCTCTACTACACTAGATAATTGAATTTCCTAAAATGTGGAGGATTGGCATACGAGTACCTAGTGATTTACGCGTCTCTTTTGATCGGAGTTCCTCTCAAGCCATCCTATTCAGTAATCTCTATTCAATTTTCACTAGATTCTACTTCGAACCCTAATCTCTCCGATTACTGCTCATACCTTAACTACCTCTGCTACTATGGGATTTGAATTGACAATTACATCTTTGTTCTAATGTAATATGGCAATTTGAACTGATGTAGGTACGTGTGAAGTTCCGCGTTGCTGTTGATTGATCGAATCTCTATTCAATAAATAGATATAATTAATAAGCTATTATTGTCATAGTCAATCAGTTTTTTGGAACACAGACAACAAATGAACATTTTTAGCGATACTGAATTACTGACAAACAGGCTGTCGTAACCATACAATAATATAACTATTCAATTTTATTTGTATAACGACTCAAGATTGTTTACTTGAGAAATAATTCGTATGATATCAGTATCAACAATCTTTTCATTACTACACATTTGTATTTTTTTTTTGTAAAAATGGAAAATTGTATTATGTTGATAAATTGTATAAAATAAATTCATTATTGAAGTCAATTAGGAATTCATACGGGTTCACAATTCGCTGAATTATGTATTAAAACAATTGTACATTAAACAAACCTATTAATAACAACAATAAAAGATTGTACTTTGAGTGAATTACTATAATATTAGACGGAATAGTGATTAGTATAATAGAAACAAATAATTAACCGTTAAGCTGCTAATAAGAATTCAGTAATCAGTCCATCAAATGGACACTCCATAGTTCTTCATTATTAGCCAATATCAAAAGTACCTGTAATATTTAAGTTTGAGCAGGCCTATGATATCGATACAAGGCATTTAGATAGCGAAAACTAATGGCTTTTTAAATGTAGAATATCAGTAATAGACGATTTGAGACATTTGGTAGCAAAGATAATTAAATGTCATTTTGAATCATTTTAATCCAATAGCAAAATTTATTCAATAATAAAAATACTTTACTGTTTACGTCATGGGTCGAGATTATTCTGATAACCGTTAAAAACCAGAAGTGGACAGCTTTTTTGAAGAAATTCTAGATTCCTTCAACAGTGTGCATCCAAGAACTTACTGTGGATCGAACCCAGGACCTATAAGTTTTGCAACTAGCACTTGTCCTTTTTAATATCGACTCCATATCGAAATGAATTGATTGAAAGGATTTTGTGAAACAGAACCACTCACCAGCATATCAGTCACATTATTAAGTACCTTAATATATCATGTATATAACTAAAGATTCAACTAAAGCCGTAATTTGTTTTATCCAGAAGCCAATTAGTATTATAAAGTAATCAGTAATTATTCTCTTCTGATTATAACATTATTTATTAATTAACTAACTGTATATGTTGGATATTTGAGAAAATCGACCAAAAGCTCTGAAACTAGGTGTCTAGGCCAATTCTACAATCTTGAGAGAATTGTTACTGCTCATCGTTTTCAAGTTCGATTCATCAAATGTCACTCTCAACCACTGAGAATATCTCAATCATATGTGAAATCACTGACTGGCTGAGCAGATCAACAATAATCTCTCTATGACAGTATGGCATAGATCTTTTTCTCTACTACTATGGGATTTGAAGTGACAATTGCATATTTGTGCTAATGTGGTATGACAACCTGAACTGATGTACGTACGTACGAAGTTCTACGTTGTTGTTGACTGACTGACTGACTGTATGACAGAATCGAAACTCGTTGATAGCATCAGTTCCTTAATGACTACACATAGTCCTACCTCAAATAACAGGAAACTTCGGTTCACATCTTCCAGATGATTATCCTTCACAAATTTGACCAACATTTTTAACCACTTGGACGAGCAGTAACTTTGTTACAATACGACAGATAGAATTTGATCATGATCAAGAATTAGACAAACATGTCACTGGTTTCTCTGCACTGTGATCAATCAATGTTATTTACCAGTTAGCTTACTTTATGAATAACTTGTACCAATACGAATAAGTAACATTTTATTTTAAGTATCTACATTACTCCATTATATTCAAGTTTGTGATTTGCAATAAATCAGAAAGTTTTGAGAAATTTAACTCTTGTTCACTTTACTATCCATCGTTTGACTAGAACTGTAAGTGTTTACAATCTTTTTTAAGCAAAAGAAAAAAATTAATCCAAACTACAAACCACTTCAATAAATTTTTGATCAAACCTTTTAACCAGGTAGCGTTGTTTTTAAATTTCAACAAGCATTATTTATTCTCTTTATTCGAATTGAAAATGTTCATTGTTCAATGTTGTTGTTGTTGTTGCTGTTATTGACAAAAAACCAGTGACATCACTTGTTTATTGGATGAATGATTCTTTTTATGAAACTTTTTCTCTTTTCTATTGCTTATTTTCTTTCACATTGAAACACTGACATTTTGTTCAAGAGAAAAAAAAGAATTGTCTATCAATTGGAACACTTAAAAATGAGTATTACTTCAATTTGAAAATGTTAAGCTTCTTAATTCGCATCACTGTGTTTTTTTCTTACTGTTTTGTTTTGTTTTGTTTTTTGGAGAAAATCAACTTACCAACAAACACATTTACCCTCCTCCTCTCCCTCTTCTAATATATATATTTATTCCCCATCAATAATTATACGAATAGTTAA